TAAACTCAATTTACACTACATCAGTACAATTCTTCCATTACAATAGAATTTTTAAGTTGTATTACGATTTTATGTAAAAATAGACATTTTAGTGTATTTTTCAGTAAAATTTTAATTTTTAAAAATTTTAATATGTTTGATAATATATATTATATTATAGAGTAGTATATTAAATTTTATTCTAATTGACTTAACTAATTTTTAATTATAATAAGGTTTCAATGTGATTAATATATTGACAATTATTTTTATTTTATTTAAGGAATTATAAGTGGAATTTTAATCAAATGAATTTCAAGAAATTTAATTTCTCAAACATCACTAAAAAATCAACCTCAATCATAAATTTAAAAAAAAAAAGATTTGTAATTATTTCTTTTTTTTTTTATAGTTAGAACAAAGAATTTTGAGAAATATACAAAATTTTCATAATCTTATAATAGAATATGAGTAATGAAAAATTAAGTTTTGTGAATTTGAAATGATATTTAATTCAAACATATATATAGCTAATATATTTTATTAATTTTTATGTGTAAAAAATATTCACGTGTAACACACATGGTGCATTGCTAATAACATATAAAAACTCCAATATACTGTAAGATTTTTAGGGTTGTAAAGTTATTTTCCGAGTGACTTAGCAGCAAAAAAAATTCTCTTTCAGGAGCCAATAATATTAATCACATATATATTTTTTAGTTATTTTTTTTCCTAGGTAAGCTTTCAAAAAGTTACTAACCACATATTTTATATGTTTGGGAAGAGGATCATTCTTTTGGAACAATTTGGCGGCATTTTCATACATTTCTATAGAGCAAAGGAAAAGCTCGTAGAACTTTCTCTCCTAGTAAAAAGGAAGACAGGATTTTTATCCTAAACATCTCCATACTACACGCTAATACATTAGAACTCTTTTTTTGTATAATTTTTGATGATGTATAAATTGAGTTTGTACACCATCTGTTAGATGAACAGTAATAAATGCAGTAGTAAAGTAGAGAGAGATAGTAAGTTAAACGAAATAAGGATTTATAGTGATTTGATCAATATGATCTACGTCCACTTTAAAGGGTTAGGTTCGCTTGAGTGTTTTATTACTTCAAGGTGTGTAGTGAGAGCATAAAGATATAAACTAGGAGAGTTACAAAGATGTATTTGACTGAGTGTGATGCTCCCTAGTTTTGGCAGAATTTACAAATTATAGTCGCCTCCTAACAGATTTAGATGACTTATTAGTAACTAAATGACTAATCTAGTGGACTTGACGCTCTCTTCTCAACAGATAAGGCAATTGCAATGCTTCCCATAAGATTCGATCAAAGGATTGACGTATGGGTTAACCCTTTTCAAGGCGGTGTGGATGAGACTCTTAGATGACTCTGCATGCTCCCTTAGTGATCTAACTTCTTGAACTCAGATGAGTTGACCAGGCATGAACTACTTTGGGCTGAATTTATTGGATCTTTCTAAGTTAGACTCTTAATTTAAACTGGGTTTTCAACATGAGTTGGGTCATTAGACTTAATTCATAAGTTTTGTTTTTCGGATTTGGTTGCTTAAGCTGCTTAAAGAAATATATATTTACTTAGTCAGTCAGGTTAATAGTTTTCCAATTGATTAAGCTGTTTTAGTCTCCCATATAAACCTTGAGGAATGAAATGATTATGAGATAAGTTTGACTGAGATAAACATATAGGATGAGCATAGACAATAGAGCAACGAAATGTCAATGATGCAAGTTTGACTGAAATGAAAGGAAGATTAAGCCTTTTAGTGTCAGTGAAAATTATTTCCTTAACTGGCATTGGAAGTTACGCAATGTCACATATATAATATGAGAAGCAACAGATGAGGGGCTCAATGAGTTGAGTAATCATTCTTCTCTATTGAAATTATGATTAGAAAGTACCCTAGGAAGCTTTGCTTTGTAGATCAGTACCCAGAAGAAGAGAATCTCCAAAAGGGTCGGTAGACCAAGGTTACAACTCAAATATTTTGAATTTAAATTTACGTAATTTATTAGAATCAAGTAACGAAAGATTTATTTTTTATAAATTTTTTATTTTTTGTGTGAATGATCTATTTTTGATTGAACTGAAAAAAAAATTAATCAAAATACGCATAAATTGATTTAAATACTTTTAACCGTTGAAAAAAAATAAAAAACTAGCAAAGCGTGTAAAAAGTGATAAAAAATTGCATGAAGATTAAAATGTTGGAAAAAGACATGAAAGTTTATGAATTGGAGGCCTCAAAATATTCTATACAGATTACGATTTTACCTAAGGTTTTCAAAATGGCTATTTGTTCTATTGTCATTTTATGAAGTATATACGACACACGGTTATAATGTAAACTGGAGATGTTGAATAAGACTTTCCTCAGATGCCCCTTGCCCAAAGCCACTTTCATAAGGATTTGTCTCGTATTTGGATACAGAGCCCCACTTAAACTTAATCAAACCTCAGATTTTGGATTTTTAATATCTATTATCTTATTCATATATAGTTCTCTCTCTCTCTCTCTCTCTCAATTAGGTGTTTTGTTAGCCAACTATATTTGACTAATGAGAAATCAATGGTAATGATCGAATCTCGTAAGACTAACTAACTAACTAAATTATATATGTAAGTGTCCATATGGGTCATGTCTTCCCACTTACTGATCATTTCCTAACCTAATTAATAAGAACACCCCCTTTTAATATTAAAGCACACCTTAATGGAGTCATTGAATGTTGCCATCCTTCAATCATTGCCACTCTTTTATGTGGGGAGCCCCGAATCTTGCAGGGACCCCCTCCTTACAATTAGGATTTTGGGTTTCCAATCTCTTTAGTTTTTAAATAAATATTCGTTTGATGAAACTAATCATCCCTCCACCTCCTAAATTTATTAATTTGGGAATATTGTTATTACGCGTATTATACTAATTTCTCTTGATGAGTTTTCTTATAAAATAAGGTTGTTAATCTTACATCACCGTATCATTGTTTATAAATTTTTCAATACTACAAACACTCCTAACTCTCTTGGGCATGTGATTCGGTCCGAGGTGAGTTTATTTGAGATTTCTTAGCAAACAACGTGATTTTTGGGAAATAAATGATAATGTTTGAGGTAATTAAAGGAAAAAAGGGAAATATGTTCCCGATATTTTAATTATAGTAACAATAATACGTTAATGAATTGTTTCAATTTATGCTTGATGTATACGAAGACTTGGCTGTATAAACAAGCTAAAAGGTATTATTATCACCACTCGGAATCAGTTTGATGCCTTACGGATACTCTTTCTTTTTGCTGTCCATGGTGCATTGGCTATTAAGTCCATAATTATATAAATAAACAAGCATAATTCCATGCCAAATCTCCTACAAATTAGGCTTTTTGGCTTAAGAGTATGGTTGATGATGAATGACCCACGCCACCACCACCACCACCACCACCATCACCATCACCATCACCCACCAAGTATATGTTACCTTATAGCTTATATATATATATATGGTGGATCTTGTGCTATGTCATGCATCCACAGATTAAGTTAGAATATATAGGAGCCAATCTTGGTTAGTTCGACACCACTTTTTTTTGATGTTGACAAAAACGTATTAAGTAAGAGACAACTAACTCCACTGACCTTTTGGAAAAATACATTATGGTGTGATTAGTGCCTCATAATCCATATTTGACGTCACCATCTAGAACCTAATATCTTTGTACTTTAAACTCCTATGATATGATCTTATGAGAATCACAGAATCTTATTCCAGTCCTCAGCGGCACCTACCATATATTATGATGAGTACCCACCCCTATTATTAACTCAATCATCTAAAGTTTGGCCAATTTTGAGCAGATATATCCATATTCCTTTGTCTTTTGGGGAATATTGAATACAAGTTTGAATAAGAAAATAGTCTTAGATTTTTATTTTTTTTTGTTTCAATGGTAAAATTTACGCATACCTCAACTTATTTTTCTCAGATCTAGTTAAAAATAGGTGGTTGTGACTAGGGTATTTATAAAAAATAAATCTCTCATGATCTGATCTCAAAAAATTACTAAGATTTGAATTCAAAACATTTAAATTTGTAATTCATTCCCGTTATAACATTCGTCCGTCCGTTCACGAGAGAGAGAGAGAGAGAGAGAGAGAGAGAGAGAGAGAGCTGGCATTGCTGAAGTAGAATTTACTAATTTCTTTGCCATGCCAACCAAAGCCCTGAAGAAATTTAACAGATGGAAGGAGGGGGAGGAGTATTCGCTTTATTAAAAAGAAAGTTCTGAATGAAATTGACATGGTCTAGGCTCCGTAGTACCCAAGCTCCTATGATTACCAAACAACTAGGAAATTTCTTAAATGATATTTAGACGTATTCACCAAATAGTATTCTTCTGCCATCATCTTATTTCACCTTTTTTAAAAAAAATTACTCATTAATGAATTAAAATAATATTTATTAAATGTGAAAAAGTGAAGACAAATGAGTTATAATTTAAATTTAAAATAGTTTAAAAAGATAGTGGAAATAGTTACAAAAAATAAAGGGCGTAGTTGCATAAGCCAAATAAAATAATTTAATTGGAATAGAGTAATTATATATTTCAAAAATCTAGAAATTAGGCATTTAGAAATGTTAGAATTTGACCAAAACTCTCTAATTATTATGAAGGAAATTTTATTGGATAATGAATGTGAGAATCCTGAATGGAATAACAAATGTATTAGAATAACATGACAGGGAATAATACATTAATAACTTCTCTCGAAATTAGACAACAAGCGTCAAATATATGTGAAATATTACACGTATATGAATCATATATAACCGATTTTTAGTTAGGGAAAGGAAAAATAAAATAAATAAAAATTATTATATTCATTTAGATGAAGCACCAAAGAACTGCTTTGAATGTTACAATGCAGTGGATAAGAGACTACATGATATTATTTCAGTATGTCAAAACGTATGTCTTCAATATCTATAACAATCACAGACATCCTAACTTCAGGTCTTCAGGCCATCCAAACTCCTCTAAGAAAGCCAACACAACTCCATTCGACCACCCGAACCCTGTCTGCATTGCACGATACCGGAAAACATATCAATCTGTCAATTTCCATCTTTTTTATAGCAACTTTGTTTAGTCTATCCATAAATTCCGGGTTGGTCATAATCTATATATGTTGATGTATGGATGAATATCAACTGCCAAATGTTAGAAACGCAGTGCAGTCCTTACCTGGGGTACATATTCGCCACCACCTCCAAATTCTCCACATTTTTGTACATCGTATTTTTCATGCATTGCGCCCGTCTTCATGTACGCAACGTAGTTGGTTCTGATCCACCTTACAGCAATGTCTTCTGCCATTGACCTTGCTTCTTCTGATCCAGATCTTACCAGGCCTTCGACGATCAGGTGTTGAAGTGGGGCCCAACCATTTGGAAAGTCCCTATTAGACATTTACATTACATCAGAGACTGAAAAGTAGAAATAGAAAAGATTATACAATCTGACACCATTTCTCCACCTCCCTTCTGATCTATAATAAACCTTGAGATTGTCAAAAAATGAACACTCAAGGTAAAATGTCAAACAGTTTACTCACCATTGTTGTCCTGAATTTAACATAGAGGTCGCGATCCCAGCAGGTTGGAGCAAGCCTGAATTTTGGAGACTTTTTGCAACTTTCTCCACAAGCATATTATCTTCACATGTACATACAAAAGAAGCAGGCTTATAATACTTTACATACAAAAAAGAGAGAGAGATTCATCATTCTGAGGAAGGTGGAGTTATTTATATCAGAGCAAGTGAGCAACAATAGCAGCAGCAGCAGCAGCAACAGCAACAAACATGAATTCCTTACAGATCCCTTCAGAAATACGCATCAAGAATGGTTAATAAATATTTAACAGCTGGTTGAGGTATTTTAATTTTCTTAATGCTGTGTAACGAATAGTGGTGGGGGTTAGAAAACCTGCTTTCTAATGCACGCTGCTATGGACAGTTAATGACAAACAAAAGTAATGAATCAGGCAATATGAATTCTACTTGATATAATCTTTGGTTCTGTTTTTGTGCAGGGTGCAGAATCTATCTCTGCCTATCTTTCTCAATTGTCCTAACAAATTCCTGAAATGGAACGTAATCTGGGCTTGGCTGCAGATTTTTGAAGAGAAGATACAACTGCTGTATGTATTTTCTGGTGTTGTTCACTTCCAAGGTTTTAATATCTCACCAAGGAGATTAGGCTAACCAACAACAAAGTTAAGAGCCATGAACAAGAAGTAGCTTGCTCATAGCTGCACAAACCAAACTCGAGAAGCCATAGTAGAGATGGGTGAATACCTGAGTTAAAAATCCACAATGGTATAAAGTTTGAGGCATATGCATTTTGGTTTTGGTTTGAAGCCTCCCATAGATAAGCATCCTGAAGTCACCAAAATGAAGAAATTAGAGAAAATGATATAGATTGCTATCTTCATGAACCATGATATTGCCAAATTCAATGTAAAAACCACCTTGCATTTTGAGTCATTCTGGAGCCAGTAATCAAGCCATTGTCCCATCTCCTCGTTCCAGAAAACAGAGTTCATAGCCTTTTGTCTGGCTTGGGAAGCTTCCATCAAGCGTGCAGCAATGCTACTCTCCCCAATAACATTTGCCAAGAAAGCTATGTCAAGTTCCATCTGAACCAAAACATACAACACCAGTTTCCCTATGAATCACACGGGTTGCCATATTTAATTAACATTTTTCGAAGAGTTTCCAAACTATACCTTGAGAATGTATGCGTTCAAATCCACAGGGAGAATCAATGTTGAAGCCAATGTCGTGAGGTCGGATGCATTCCTGCAACATGACAACTGATAACTTATAGCTTCAATCATGCACATCTAACTATCTGAAAACTTGACTCCGTCCACCTTTAACATTGGCCTCTTTCACTAATTGAGCTTACATGAGTGTTTCTCAACAACGGTTTAATGTGCTAATATTTCCCCTACCAATAAGTTAGGGCAGAAACAAAAAATGTGCTACAGCGTAACCTGCTACCATGAGATATACGAATAAAATATTCAGAATCAGGATGACTAAAGAAGGACAGACTACTACTACCTACAGAAAGATGACAAAGTAAAAAATATCACCTCATCCACCTTGTACTGAAATCCCATCCAGATTCTGCAGTTGAAGCCAGTTCCCGATATAGCTGTGTTTTCCCACAAACATTTGTGAGCTTGGAAGCAGTTTCCTTGTCCTGTAAGGAGTATAGGTTATTAGATAGACTACATTCCCATGGTTGATAAAAAGAACAACAATATCCTACAATTATAACTTAGGAAGGCAAGTAAAACACATACAGTAACTGAAGATTCTGGCCTGGGTTCGTTCCAAAATGCATAATATCGACTTAAAGTGTGACTGGATCCTTGAGCATCCTGAATGATCACCTTATGTAATCCTTGAAAGACAAAATCAATGATAAAAAACCAATAAGCACCTCTCACCAAGAGAGGGAGATCAGAAAGAAGCAGCATTGCACAAATTGATGATGATCAACAATAAGAACAATCAACAGAAAGACAATCAAGTCCAAGCGAGAGCAAAGTCAACTAAACAACAAAGTGATTAACAGACAGAAATATGCTCTTTAAGAGAGAAAACTCGATTAAAACCTGAATTCCAAAAGTCATGTTCTTTAAGTAGAGCAGGGAGAGATTTTTTAACCAACTCCATATCTCCAGTACGATTGAATACATCATAAACCATTGCACTTAGGAGTGGAGGCTGGCTGCAAAAGTACAACCAAACTATTACTTGAAAGCATATCAGTACAGGATAACTTTGGGAAATGGTTTAGGTCACATAATGACAAGGTAAATAAAACCTCCCCCTCTTCTCCCTGTACCCCATCAAGATTAAGATATTATTTGGGTGGTCTATCTACTTGATGCACATACGGAAAGCATTTTAGCATTGAGAGGAGAGTGACAGTATCTATTACCATAGTTTTCTAGTCATTTTAGCATTGCTGATTTCATTCATAATGACCAAGGATAATGGTTGATAACTCACTATGAGCCATGAAAAATTATAAAATCTAAAACCAAGTCAAATATGAAGGGAATAACCCAATGTGTATTAAAGTTTTCATTGATAGTCCAACCTTTCATGACTACTATTCCAGCTACACTATTGTTTGCACACAGATGATTAACTTTGAATTGTCAAACAAGTTTAAGAAACATCAGATGCACGATGTATTAAAGTTTTCTTGCATGAGGAAACATTTTCCAATTGGAATCTGGGAATCTGGATTTAGAGGTATATGTATGTATACACATCTACATTGTTCCAAATTTGACGCAGAGAACAACTATGGTTATGTATGTATTGACTAAAACATTAAACCGTCCTTATACTTCTCAAGAAATCAGCAAATGTCAAAAGGAACTTACCTCCTATTAGTGTAATATGCTCTTGCACCATTAAGAACAAATCCAAATTCATTTACAAGGGAAATGAGATTAATCACAATTCCTTTTGCCGTCTCATGCATTTTACTTGCTAACAAGCCCCTGCACAGCAAATATATTAATCTTCTAAAACTGTGCATTACAAAGGACAAAAATAGATGTCTAAATAAAAATGTAATACATATTCCAGGAATGAATTGCAAAGTTGCAGTACTAAATTAAAGAAACAGAAAATCATGAAATGACCTTGAAAACAAAAACCTGGGTTATACAAATATTAGCTGGATAGTTTAGTCCCTATCCTACCTTCTTACAATAAAGCTTCAACATCAAATAATAAAGCAAACTACAATTATGGTGCAATTACTATACAATACAGCCTTTGTGCGGAAAAAAGTTAGAGTGGGTTTAGCACAACACGTGGCAATGCCATATGGTGTGCACAGCCAGTGGAAAATTGTCATGTCACAGAGGTTGGTTTTTTTTCAAAAAATTTGATAAAAGTGATGAATGACAGTTTTTCTTAGGAATGTACAACTTCAGATTGGTTATGTACACCACTGGCAATCCCAAGTGGTGTGTTAAACCCACACAAATATTTCTCCTTTGTGCGAGCACAATTCAAGACCAACTGCAGGCCTACAGGGTCAACAAAATCCTTCCATTGTACCAACACAACAATGAAAGATTGTGCTCTGTTTGATTGGTGAGAAGCATGAGGAAGAAGGACAAAAGCAAATACAGAAAACAATTTACTTCTTGTTATGCTAAAAAGGGATATTGTGGTGCATTAGATTGCATTATTCCCACATAATTTATACAACCCCAAATTTTGACAATAGAGCCGAATCTATATTGAAACATATTAAAGTTTGATTAGAACACTTTTTTTCTGTAGAACAGTATTCTAAGTTAAGTTGAATTGATTCACCAACCTTGGCTTTTTCATACTTTTCAAGAATCAAATGGCAGACAATGTAGAACCAAATTCTTGAGTAGTGTTACTTGGACCTAATCATCTCAGAGCCAATTTGATGAGCTATTCCGATATTTGCATTAGATTGGTAGTGCATTCAATATTGAGACCCATATCAATCTAACAAGCACAACAAATTAGATCAACAGTTTAGGGTGGATGATTAGGTCCAAGCAACATGATTGAATTACTTTCTTCGTTTACATGTTACCAATTTTCTTTACAACCAGACATGTGTTTAAGATGGGTGGGTGGGGCGGATGGGAAGAAAAGAAGAATTAAGACTAACCTTATCACCCAATAGGAATCCCAATAATAAACCTCTCGAAACCTTGAACCAGGTATCATAACGGGCTTCGGCAGAGGAAGCAACGTATGCAAATCCGATTGCTCCAAAACTCCGTCGGACACTCTCCGGCTCAAATTCTTCCAAAGCGAATGAACCTCCAACGCCCAAGCCCTTACCTCCGGGTTCAACACCTTGGGCAAAAACCCCTTCGGCTCAGCCTCAAAGTCCACCGGCTCAACATACACCAAATCATCTTCTACACCATTGAAGTAGTTCTCTATATACCCATTTAAGTCGGAAACCGATACGGAACCATTGTCACTCCGGGCAAGCTTGTCAAAAGCTTCTTGGGTCGTAGAAAGATTGAATTTTGATGACAAATCGACGTACAGTTTTGGGTCAAAGTTTTTGTGTCCGTAAGTTTTAAGAGCAGTTTCTTGGAGTCGTTCCAAAAAGGTGACCAATGGGGTTGTTGGTACCACAGGGCCTGAGTCGGTAGGTATGCATGGTTGTGGAGCTTGTGCTGTGACCGTACTGCTCATAGCTGTCGAGAAGTAGATGAGAAAGAAGAAAACGAGTTAATTTGACAAAGTTTGGTGAAGACTTACCAAACTTACATGGGATATTTAACTGTGTATATAAGTAAAAGAATACAAGGAAAAGGCCGGCAGTGGGCATCATAGGGCTAGTTGGATGGTTGGAATTGGCCTATTTTTCGATAAGAACTAGAAAAAGGTTATAGCCACACCACGTTTTTTTAACAGATCCTCATCTTTGTTGGGCTTCTGAAGAAATCGAATCTTCCTTCAATATCACCAAATATATTTAGTAGCAAAAACACTATCAAACTTGGGAATATTTTGTTCTTCATATTTTTTTGATTTAAATAAGAATCCGTCAGAATTTATTGACAGGTTCAAGTTTACTTCTGCCTTTATTTTTATTTGATTTGATTTGATTTGATTTGATTTTGTTCTTCCAATTCTGTCTTTTAGTCCTTGAAAGCATCCCATGTTTGACAAATCAAAAATTCCTTCCAAATTTTATCACAATTGATTTAAAAACGTCAATTTTAATTTATTTACATGAGTTAAATAAAACCCAAGAAAGGGTTAGAAATTTTTTTGCCAAACAAGATAACTAACACAAATGACCAAATTGCATTGTTCTCTCTCTCACACCACACAGTTGTCTACTTCGTCTCCTATTTTCTTAACAGATCTAAAAATTTTTTAGACAAATTTGTTTTATCAAAACAAGGCTATGCCGACATATCTTAAGGAGACCAAAACATCTTCTCCAATAAGATAGTTAATTTAAATAATAAACTAACTCTAATAAAATAATATCCTATTTGAATTAAGATTACTTAACAACTACTAATAAAATAACTAATTAATAAGAATTTGGGTTAATTCTCAACAGTCATCATAACATATGAACACTTGTTTAGAAGATATGAAATTACAACAATTTTAAAAATTACTTGTAAGAAAAATTTATTTAAAATTGATCAAAGACTAATTTATAAATCAAACATGTTATTGGATTAGATATGTTAAGGGCAAAACAATCGATGGCACTATATTCCATCATCCCTCTTCGTGAATCCCACATAAGTGTTTATGTCTTATACAAAAATTAGAAATGATTGAATATAACCATTAAATACTAATCAATCAAACGATAGCTGAGTTTAGAGCAATACTATTAAGACATAATTTACTGACATAATTCATTATGACCTAATTTAGATTAATTGTAGGGCCCATCAAATATTAAAACTCTATGTTGATCCAATAATTTTATTGAAACCACATCACTTTATCAATAAATTATGTCAGATTTTTAAGTTCAAATAACATTACTCAGTGAGTTTAAGTTGAATAGAAATTAATATATGCTATTTGAACCTAAAAATCAAACCTAATTTGCTGACATAATGATGTAATTTCATAAAAATCATTGAATCAACATCAAATTCCAACGTTTGATAAGACATACAATCAATCCAAATGTCATAATAAATTAAGTAACAAATTATATCAGTAAATTAAATCTCAATAGCATTACTCCTTTTTAAATCTCCAATTTTATCCATTCCTATCATTCAAACACAACCAAAGTACTCTGCGTCAATATGAAACCATTCCGGCGGAGTGGGTTTTCATAACTCTTTTACCACATTCTAGTAATTTCAAACTTAATTATCCGACTATCGTTGTTAAGCATGTTCGGTGCTTAAAAAACAAACACTTTCATAAAAATAATGATAATTTGATAAAAATAAGTATAAAATTAAAAATTTTTGGTTAAATTTTTTTTTAAAAAAAATGACAGTATTTCGATGAACAATTGCGTAAAAAAGCCCAGTTCAAAAAAAAAAATATTGTGTAAAAAAGCTCCTCAGCTGTCCCTTCAGTTCCACACAGCTCCATCCTATGGGGCAGAGCTTCAGGAATTGGAACGATAATGACAACCATCATATACACTTGCATCCTAGGAGCTTAGACAAAAAGAGCAAATAATAATAATAATAACAATGATCCAAAAAAGCTCATTTTGACAGGATACCAACTCCCTAACCCCAATAAAACAAGGAGAGAGGGAGAGTAATAGCGAAAGGAAAAAAAATAAAAGGACAAGCCTCCAACAGTTTCCCACTTTATTTCTCTCCTATCATGTTTTAGCGAGACTCACTTTTATATGATAAATTTATAGTAGGAAAGAAATAAAAGACAAATAAATTAATGAGATTTCACGCCATTTTCTTGGACCTCAGCCTCGTCCCGAAGAGCAAGTGGAAAAGCAAACAACAGCAAAAATAAATAAATAGAATAAAGAAGATCAAATATGAAAGCAGATAAACCAAGTTTTTACGTTGGGTATTGATTTAACAGTGGTCATTAGTAGCCCGTGGAGATTCCAATGCAATTAATCAAATGTAGAGCCGATAATTGAGTCAAACTAATTGGACTCGACCTGGATAACTCGAAATTAGACAACAAGCGTCAAATATATGTGAAATATTACACGTATATGAATCATATATAACCGATTTTTAGTTAGGGAAAGGAAAAATAAAATAAATAAAAATTATTATATTCATTTAGATGAAGCACCAAAGAACTGCTTTGAATGTTACAATGCAGTGGATAAGAGACTACATGATATTATTTCAGTATGTCAAAACGTATGTCTTCAATATCTATAACAATCACAGACATCCTAACTTCAGGTCTTCAGGCCATCCAAACTCCTCTAAGAAAGCCAACACAACTCCATTCGACCACCCGAACCCTGTCTGCATTGCACGATACCGGAAAACATATCAATCTGTCAATTTCCATCTTTTTTATAGCAACTTTGTTTAGTCTATCCATAAATTCCGGGTTGGTCATAATCTATATATGTTGATGTATGGATGAATATCAACTGCCAAATGTTAGAAACGCAGTGCAGTCCTTACCTGGGGTACATATTCGCCACCACCTCCAAATTCTCCACATTTTTGTACATCGTATTTTTCATGCATTGCGCCCGTCTTCATGTACGCAACGTAGTTGGTTCTGATCCACCTTACAGCAATGTCTTCTGCCATTGACCTTGCTTCTTCTGATCCAGATCTTACCAGGCCTTCGACGATCAGGTGTTGAAGTGGGGCCCAACCATTTGGAAAGTCCCTATTAGACATTTACATTACATCAGAGACTGAAAAGTAGAAATAGAAAAGATTATACAATCTGACACCATTTCTCCACCTCCCTTCTGATCTATAATAAACCTTGAGATTGTCAAAAAATGAACACTCAAGGTAAAATGTCAAACAGTTTACTCACCATTGTTGTCCTGAATTTAACATAGAGGTCGCGATCCCAGCAGGTTGGAGCAAGCCTGAATTTTGGAGACTTTTTGCAACTTTCTCCACAAGCATATTATCTTCACATGTACATACAAAAGAAGCAGGCTTATAATACTTTACATACAAAAAAGAGAGAGAGATTCATCATTCTGAGGAAGGTGGAGTTATTTATATCAGAGCAAGTGAGCAACAATAGCAGCAGCAGCAGCAGCAACAGCAACAAACATGAATTCCTTACAGATCCCTTCAGAAATACGCATCAAGAATGGTTAATAAATATTTAACAGCTGGTTGAGGTATTTTAATTTTCTTAATGCTGTGTAACGAATAGTGGTGGGGGTTAGAAAACCTGCTTTCTAATGCACGCTGCTATGGACAGTTAATGACAAACAAAAGTAATGAATCAGGCAATATGAATTCTGCTTGATATAATCTTTGGTTCTGTTTTTGTGCAGGGTGCAGAATCTATCTCTGCCTATCTTTCTCAATTGTCCTAACAAATTCCTGAAATGGAACGTAATCTGGGCTTGGCTGCAGATTTTTGAAGAGAAGATACAACTGCTGTATGTATTTTCTGGTGTTGTTCACTTCCAAGGTTTTAATATCTCACCAAGGAGATTAGGCTAACCAACAACAAAGTTAAGAGCCATGAACAAGAAGTAGCTTGCTCATAGCTGCACAAACCAAACTCGAGAAGCCATAGTAGAGATGGGTGAATACCTGAGTTAAAAATCCACAATGGTATAAAGTTTGAGGCATATGCATTTTGGTTTTGGTTTGAAGCCTCCCATAGATAAGCATCCTGAAGTCACCAAAATGAAGAAATTAGAGAAAATGATATAGATTGCTATCTTCATGAACCATGATATTGCCAAATTCAATGTAAAAACCACCTTGCATTTTGAGTCATTCTGGAGCCAGTAATCAAGCCATTGTCCCATCTCCTCGTTCCAGAAAACAGAGTTCATAGCCTTTTGTCTGGCTTGGGAAGCTTCCATCAAGCGTGCAGCAATGCTACTCTCCCCAATAACATTTGCCAAGAAAGCTATGTCAAGTTCCATCTGAACCAAAACATACAACACCAGTTTCCCTATGAATCACACGGGTTGCCATATTTAATTAACATTTTTCGAAGAGTTTCCAAACTATACCTTGAGAATGTATGCGTTCAAATCCACAGGGAGAATCAATGTTGAAGCCAATGTCGTGAGGTCGGATGCATTCCTGCAACATGACAACTGATAACTTATAGCTTCAATCATGCACATCTAACTATCTGAAAACTTGACTCCGTCCACCTTTAACATTGGCCTCTTTCACTAATTGAGCTTACATGAGTGTTTCTCAACAACGGTTTAATGTGCTAATATTTCCCCTACCAATAAGTTAGGGCAGAAACAAAAAATGTGCTACAGCGTAACCTGCTACCATGAGATATACGAATAAAATATTCAGAATCAGGATGACTAAAGAAGGACAGACTACTACTACCTACAGAAAGATGACAAAGTAAAAAATATCACCTCATCCACCTTGTACTGAAATCCCATCCAGATTCTGCAGTTGAAGCCAGTTCCCGATATAGCTGTGTTTTCCCACAAACATTTGTGAGCTTGGAAGCAGTTTCCTTGTCCTGTAAGGAGTATAGGTTATTAGATAGACTACATTCCCATGGTTGAT